GCTGGGGTGGTTAATGGGCAAAGTTTTTTGACGGGTCTTTTAATTTCACCGCTCTGTGTCTTGACGGTTACTACTCTCACCACGCCGTCTTGTCCAGGATGCAAGGCTGTGATTCTTCCCAGAGCCCATTGTAATGGTGGGGTGTGGTCTTCCTTTATCAGAACCACTGTATTCAACTCGATGTTGTCTCCTGAAGCCGTCCACTTTGTCCTTGGCTGCAACTCGTTCAGGTACTCCTTGTGAAAGCGGATCCAGAACTGCTGAAGCAATCGCTGCCGATTCTGCCAATGGGTGAGACGATTCTCTGAAATCTCAGTAAAATCATGTTGAGCAGGCTGTATAAGAGAATCGCCTATCAAAAAATGCGCGGGTGTCAAGGCCGACAAGTCGTTTGGATCGCTAGATAACGGCATGAGGGGCCTCGAATTCATTATAGCCTCAATCTGGGATAGTAAGGTACTGCATTCCTCGAACGTAAGCACCCTTCCTTTGGTCACCGTGTACAAACGTCGTTTGGCGACTTTCACCGCCGCCTCCCAAATGCCCCCGAAATGCGGGGCGTGTGGAGGAATGAAGCTCCACTTTATTCGCCGACGAGCCAGGTTGTCTTCTATTTCTGAGCTCTTCCTCTCCAAGAACGTGTACACCTCCTTCAATTCTCGAGCCGCTCCCACGAAGTTCGTCCCATTATCTGAGAATATCTTCGAACAAATCCCGCGACGGGCTGTGAAACGGTTTAAAGCCGCTAAATATGCCTCCGTTGTCAGATCTGAGACAAGCTCGATATGAACCGCCTTAGTGCTCAGGCAGGTAAATATCGCTATGTAGCCTTTTGAAATGTGGATTCTCCCCCGACGTCGACTCTCACGGAGCTGTAGAGGGCCCGCGTAATCAACACCGGTACTTCTGAATGGTCTGCCGAGACCGGTCACTCTCTGCTTGGGCAGATCTCCCATCTTCAATTCCGGAACTGTCGGTCGAAACCGAAAGCAGCTCACGCAGCTTCTCACTATCTTGCGTGCCTCTCTTCGACCGCTTAAGGGCCAATAACGTTGTCTCACCGCACTAAGAAGCTGCTCAGGTGGACAATGCAATAGGCGCAAGTGTTCCTTGCGCATAATCAAATTGGTCACTCGATGCCTTGCTGGCAGCACGATAGGATGCTTCTGATTTTCTGGTATACTCGCGTGTCGAAGTCTTCCTCCTACCCGTATCAAATCCTCTTCATCCAGGAAGGGGTTTAAAGATCGCACGTTGCTTTTCCTTGACAGCTGTCGTCCGCCTCTCAAGTCGGCAAGTCTTCGGAAAACATTTCCTGCTGCACCATCTTTATTATCGTCTGGTCTGCTCGCTCCAGTTCCTCGAGTTTAATTACGCCGGCGTTTCCTTTTCCTAGCGTCTTATCCTTAAATCGATGACATTGAGCAATTACCCGCTGAAGCTTGCAGTACGTCGGAAATCTTGTCCATAAATCCGTGTTTTTGATCGCTACTAATGCGACAGTTGCAGTTTTTCGTTCAGGAGGTTCAACCTCCGGCTCTTCCGTATGTTCTGGCATCTGATTCTTGCTCACGAGCCAAGGAGGCCCATGCCACCAGAGCTCACTTTCCTCGAGCACGTCCGCGGGGACGCCCCTTGATAACAGATCCGCAGGGTTTTCATCCGTTGGCACGTGGTTCCAATCGATGTTTCCCGTAATATGCTGAATCTTGGCCACACGGTTTGCGACAAACGTCTTTAGTTCGTTTGGTCGCGCTCGAACCCAGGCGAGCACTATCGTGCTGTCGGTCCACAGTTTAACGCCGTTGATTCTTTGGCCATATGCTTCCCTAGCTAGAGCATATAGTTTCGCAAGGAGTAGCGCTGCTTCGAGTTCCAATCGCGGCACCGATATAGTTTTGAGTGGCGCCACTTTGGTTTTTGCGCATATTAGATGCGAGCTAATGCCTCCATTTTCATCTGAACTCACGGCGTACAAACACGCGCCGTAAGCCTTCTCCGACGCATCTCCGAATCCGAAGATGTCAAACTTGTCTGATGCACTCCGGGGAATCACGTTCCGTGGTATCTGTAGGTAGTTAGCCTTCTTCAAAGCCGAACTGTAGTCTTCCCAGGCAGGTGCGAGTTCCGCTGGAATCTCCTGATCCCAATCGAGATCGTACAACCATAGACGTTGCATTATTATCTTCCCGCTGACCAGTAACGGTGCGATGAGGCCCAACGGGTCGAACACTTGCGCTATCTTGGATAAAACAAGCCGCTTCGTTACAACCTGATTCTCCTCCGTATGCACCTGGTATTGCAGACAGTCTGCCTTAGCGTTCCATAAAAGACCTAATGTCTTTAGAGCTCCCTCCTTATCTAGGATTAACAATTCGTCGGTCTTGCATTGCTCTGCAAGATGTTCCAGAATACTTGAGCTGCTGGCCCGCCACTTCCGTAGATGGAATTGACCTCGCTTCAGCAATTGAGAAAGCTGTTTTTGTAACTCAATCGCCTCTTCCATTGTTCTTGCTCCACTGAGGACATCATCCATGTAGCAATCTTCGATGATCGCGTGCGCTGCTTGTGGTAGATCACCTCCGTCGTCTTCAGCTAGTTGCCTTAGACACCTTATTGCCAGATAGGGCGCGCAGTTTGTGCCGTATGTTACGGTATTCAACTGATATCTCCTCACGGGTTCCTCGGGATTACTTCGCCAAAGTATTTGCTGCAACGATCGGTCTTCTTCGGCAACCAGGATCTGTCTGAACATGGACGCTATGTCCGCTGTCACAACGTGCTCGTATGTTCTGAATCGAAGTATTATGCCGATCAAATTCCCTTGCAGATTCGGTCCTGCGATAAGCTTGTCGTTCAACGATGTATTCGCTGTCGTCTTTGCGGAGGCGTCAAATACCACCCGCAGCTTCGTCGTTACGCTATCTGGGCGTACAACCGCCTGATGTGGTAGTACGTAGTGCTCTGACTTCTGATTCTCGTCCTCAACCAATGTCATGTGTCCTTGGCTGAGATAGTCCTGCATAAACTTGCAATATCCCAACTTCAAGTCCGGATCTCTAGCGAATCGCCTCTCTAATGAGATGAAGCGTTTGAGCGCAAACTCGCTCGAGTTTCCAAGTCTCACGTCCGCTCGTGCTGGCAAACGCACCAGGAATCTTCCTGTTTCGTCTCTCTTGCACGTGGTTTTAAACAGCTGCTCACACTTCCTTTCTTCTTCCGAAAGTTGTGGAGTTCCCGGTGTCTCTTCCTGAGTCCAGAACCTTTCAATTTGTTTCATCAACATTTCGTTAGTTACTGTGAGGCAGGTTGCTGATAACGGCGGTTGTGTTTCGGTCATCTCTCCGCCTATTATCCATCCAAAGTGTGTTTGTTGTATCGATGGCTGTCCTTTGATGCTATTTCTTGGTGATCCGACGAGGCATTTCCAGTATAACCCTGCTCCGATAAGCAAATCAACTGGCCCCGGTTGGTCGAAACACGGATCTGCAAGAAGCGCGCCTCTCGGGATTATAACCCTTTTTACGTCAATCTTGCTCTGAGGGAGTCTTTCTGTTATTGTTGGCAACACCAAACATTCTAATGTCGCCTCGAATTTACTTCGGATTGACTTAATCCGCAGTTGCGTTACCTTGTACGCACTCGTCTCTGTTCGCCCTATTCCAGTGATGGGCCGCTCTTCTTTATTGCAAACTAACTTGAGTTTATTAGTCAAGCTCGTGGTTATTATGTTAGTTTGCGATCCAGGGTCCAGTAACGCACGACAAGCTTGCACATTGCCCTCTGAATCGTATGCATGTACCTTTATTGTTGACAAGATCACTTTAGTTGCTGTTTGCGCACAGTAAATACTCTGCGTCTCCATCTTGCTTGCTTCTTGGGTAGCGCACGCCACCACCGATGTTTCCGTGCTGCTCTCACTCTCCTGAGGTTCCACTTCTCTATGGAGGAGAGTGTTGTGTCGCTTCGAGCATTTCTTGCATGTTGTCGAACGGCAGTCTCTTGAGTAATGTCCTGAATTCAAACAATTGATGCACAGCTTTTTATCTCGTACTGTGACCAGCCTATCGGCAACCGATTGCTTTAGCAATTCCTCGCACTTGTATATCGGATGACTGCCTTTGCAGATCTTGCAGCTCGCTGGTGTCGTCGTGAGCGAGACCTTTTTCTCGCCTTTCTTCTGCGTCGTTGGCTTCTCGCTGGATGCCTGCTTTCCTTTATTTTGATTCAATACTCTCAATGTGTGACAGCGTTCTGTCAAGAATTTCAGAAATTCTTCTATCTTGGGCATGTTTGTTGGCGTTCGACTCTTGACTATGTTCTGCCAGTCACGCTGCTCCGCAAAATCTAACCTTTTCTTCGCCATGTGTATTATTATCGTATCCCATTTCTCTACCGGCTGATGTAGCGCTCGAAGTGATTCCAGGTGTGTTTGAATGTGCCGTGTAAATTGTCGAATAGCGTCGGCCTTGTTGTCCTTTGCAATATTCGGGAACTGCAACAATGCGTCGAGATGCGTCTCGATGATTAGCATCTGATTATCGTATGTATTCTTCAGAAGTGTCCAGGCGTTTTCGTAGTTCTCATCCGAAATACTGAATCCTTGAACTACCTGGAGCGCTTCTCCCTTCAGGATGCCAACTAAGTACTGGTGTTTCTGCATCGGCGATAAATCCTTATCGCTGTGTATCGTGGTTTCGAAGCTGTTCTTAAAGAACATCCATTTTGTGTAATCGCCGCTGAATTCGGGCAATTTGATTTCGGGCAACTTCGGCTTTGTCCTCCGTTGTCCCTCGTCCGTTGGTTCCGGTGCTCTGTGTTGACTTGCTGCTTGTTGTGCAGCAACCTGCTGTGTCGCAGCAACCTGCTGTTTCGCAGCCTGCTGATCAATGATGTGTTGCGCTGTGGCCGCAGCCTTGTAGTAACAGCTCTCGAACAGATTTCGTTCCGCTTCGCCTTCCTCCTGTATTACCTCTGCTTGCTCGTCCGTCTGTGCTGGCCGAGCATCTATTTCGCCTTGAATCTCCTCGAATTTGCCCCATAATTCCTCGAGCCTTCGTAAGCGAACTCGTGCGTCTGCCGCGCTCTTCACGTCCGCCGAATCAAAGTACAACTGCATTCTGGTAACTTGCCCCTTTACGTAGGCACGCTTTTGCTTTAACTTCCTCATATCCGAATTCGACATCTCGGATTCCGTGATCTGGAACGTGCTTTGATTAACAAGAGATAGGAGACTGACTCGCTCACCTTTCTTGTTTCGATGCCCCCGCTGCGTCGATCCGCCGCGTTGAAGTTATGCGTGTCCGACGTCCTTCGGACCGTCGATGCTGTACGCGTGAGCCTACCTCGCCGCGTATGCTGTTATGCGTGTTCAACGTCCTTCAGATCGTTGATGCTGTACGCGTGAGCCTGCCTCGCCGCGTTGTGGTGTACGCGTGAGCCTGCCTCGCCGCGTTGTGGTTATGCGTGTCCGACGTCCTTCGGACCGTTGATGCTGTACGCGTGAGCCTGCCTCGCCGCGTTGCGCTGTACGCGTGAGCCTGCCTCGCCGCGTTGAATATGCGTGTGACGCTTTGCTTCGCGCGTCCTACCTTGCTGCGTGTCCGACGTCCTTCGGACTGCTGTTGCTGTACGCGTGAGCCTGCCTCGCCGCGTTGCTGTTATGCGTGTTCAACGTCCTTCGGACCGTTGATGCTGTACGCGTGAGCCTGCCTCGCCGCGTTGTGGTGTACGCGTGAGCCTGCCTCGCCGCGTTGTGGTTATGCGTGTGACGCCTTGTTTCGCGCGTCTTCTTTGTCCGATGTATGCTTTTCCTGCGATGCACCGAAGCACGGGTCGTCACTGCCACGCCGGTGTCGCACCTTCGTTCCTTGTCCCGGTTTCCCGTTCAGCCTCTAATACCCCGGTCGTGTTTTCACTCTGCCACTATGTTGGGCGCCAATATGTTGTCGTGTCGGAATGCTCGCAATAAATGCCGCTCTTAGATTTGCAGAAATGCTTTATTTTACAACTCAACTCTTTCGCCGCACAACATCTCCGCCATACTCTCTCCTAACTAACTGTTCCCCTTCCCCAACGCTTATAGCCTCGACGACCTGCCACTGCGCAAGTCAAATTCGCTCTCGCGAACACCGTTTACATTTATAAATGTATCGTTTTTCTTTTCTTCCTCGTACTTATACCATCTTAAAATATTGATAAGATTGTTAGTAACGACGCAGTCTGACGAATTACTGCACAAAGAATCAATACAATACGACAGAGGACGCGCAAATTCTAAGACATCTTATTGCTCATGTAAATTTACCAGCAGCCTACGAAGTTTCCTTTCTATTTTGTCCATGTCCAACGTTATATCCTGTTTATAATAAATCCACAAAAACTTGGCAGAATTCGGACGTACGTTTGGGTCGAACAATGTTGTAGAAATCTTTAAATGCAAAATCAACAAAAACAACACAATGAAAGATGACTAATAACGATAACGACATAGGCCGTGTTGCTAATTATCATAAAATGGTGGTACAGTTGGGACATTCCAACAGAAAACCCCCATTTGGTTGTCAGAAGATTCAAACAGCTTTTAAAGCGGAGACGAACTGTATTGTCTCTGGAACGACAAAACACTTAAGTGCGACTATGTAATTAAATAAATACTTATATACGATATCGAAAATACTAAACCATGACCCAGATAGCACAGGATGTCCTGTGGACGTCCAGTTTAAGTCCAATTTACGTCCGAACGTCCGTGGACGTGAAATAG